GGAAAGGAAGGAAGGAAGGAAGGAAGGAAGGAAGGAAGGAAGGAACAGAGGGAGGGAGGGAGGGAGGGAGGGGAAGGAAGGAAGGAAGGAAGGAAGGAAGGAAGGAAGGAAGGAAGGAGAAAAAAGAAGGAAGGAGAGTTAGTTCAAATGCAGTTTCTTATTTTAACCAACTTCAGTCATTATATCATTTTTATTTCCTTACTCCTGAAATAACAGGCATTTCTTTCTGCTGCCTGATGCGCTTACACCAAATATTACTTTTCTGTTGTAGCCTTTAACAAACGCACAATAACATAAGCAATTACAAATATGTATGCGTCTGTAATATCTAACTGTAAAAATTGTTTTTTACGCCAAATATTACTTTTCTGTTGTAGCCTTCAACAACACACAATAACATAAGCAATTACAAATATGTATGTGTCTGTAATATCTAACTGTAAAAATTGTTTTAAAACTGGGGGGGGGGGTGATTACAATACACTGTCTCCGTGAGCACTAACATCCCATTGTAGTTGCTATTTTCATTCCCTTCCCTCTCTGACTGGTTATTGGGGGGGGGTCCCCTAGGCTGCAAAACTCCAGGGCAGCCCATGGCACAGCTCTAATTGTACCACTGCTGGTGTAAGATTATAGGTAGCCTCAAGCTAAATACCACAAAATGAGGAGAGATTTCTATCAGAGGGTTTTTTTTGGTCTTGCTCCCCTCCCAAAAGCAGCCAGGACACCAATTCATTGAAAGTCAAATAAAAAAATACAACTGCCTAAAATCTCCCACTTTTTCAATTCTGCCCCAGCCCCCATCATCCAAAGTGCTGTCAGATGTAGCTTGCCTCCAATTTCTCACCCAAAAAGGAAAGCAAACTCCTCCCCCAAATTAGAACTGAAGAAGATTCTTGGATGAGAAGCAAAATGTCTTCAAGGAAAGACAAAATCCAGTTGCCTTTTGAAAAAGCACCTTTGGGACAACGATGAGCTTTGGGGTGACTGAGAATCTCCATAGACATCCTCCCCCAAATGTTCCTCACTTTTCAGACGTTCGGAGGACAATATACTAGAATCAATTTTCTTTAGAGAGTTGGAGACAGATCCTTATCATTCCAGCACATTAAACACAAGGCCTAGGCCCAGTTTCTCTTGCAGAAAAACTACAATTTAGGAATCTAGCTTCATGCACCTCTGCCCTTCTGTTTGTCTCAGAAAACCACATGTCCATCCCAGAGCAGCAGATAAAGGTCGGTCTAAAGAACTCACACCCAACCTGGGACTTGTACTGCCCTTAGTGAGAGCCACTTACTGAACAATCATGGAATAAGTTAGAAAAACAGTCTGATTCTCTCTGGAATTGAAGGTGGTGGGTTCTAAGTTACAGATACTTCTAGAACCCAACTAGACTTCTGTGACATTGCTCTGGGTTGACTTGAACATTCCTTTACTTCTGCCCTGGGCTCTTACTACAACTTGCATCCTCTGGCCTTTCCTTAGTAGTGATGCTCAGAGCATTAGACTAACTGTTGATCAGAGGTGGGTTCCTACCAGTTCGCACCTATTCGGTAGAACCGGTTCGTCAAATCTACCGAACCGGTTAGAAGAGGTTCCACCAGTGGACCNCATACACATACACATACACATACACATACACATATATATATATATATATAATTTAAAGTCACAACCCCTGGTATGCACAAATACAACACACACACACACACACACACACACACGCATGCATGCATATATATATATATCAAAAAGGCAACAGTAAAAATATTGGCTTTCTGTCTGGATGGTCTCTTGTGATGAGCCGATGAGCCGATAGACAGAGAAAGGAAACAGTATGCCTCCTCCCATATTTAGGCATCACGCACACACACACACACACACACACACACACGGTCTTTTCATGTCATATACTTGAACAATTCAGTCTTCCCACTGACCGGTATGTCCAGATCAGTGGCTTCATAGCAATAAATAAGGGCAAAATTACTCACTGAGTGGTAATTTTATACTTAATACTAACAGTAAGGGCTGAGCTAGGCGGTAGTGACCTTTTCTTATGTGGCTGCCAGGCAGCCCAGTTAAATGTCCCTGTATAGAACTGAAGCCAACCCACTTGAGAGCTCACCGCTGCAATGCATTTGGCAGAGGTTTGGTTTCCCGTGTTTGTAATCTTCGCACCAAAGGTGACTGTTGATCTGGAAGATGCCATTGCTGGTGCTGCCATCAGCTTCATGGTCCACAAGCGCTGAGTCAAAGTGGCTCTCATAGAAGGCTAAGCAGACCCCTGTAGCACGGAGTAGAAAAACGGGTCATTTGGAACTCTCTTTCCCAATTAACACAACATTAGACCTAGGCAAAAGTTGAGGTTGGCACTTGGAAGAGGTATGCTAATTCATCAAGCATTTCTGAACACACAGACCCTTGCTTATTGTCACGGTTTTGGCTCAGCTGTTCATGGGGATAAGTAAGTCACCAGCTGTTCTTAGACTATGACTTCCATCACTTTGTTTTTGGCCGCATTGACTGGATCTGATGGGAGCTGGATCCCAATAGTTGAAGGGTGACATAAGCGTCTGGTTTTTGTCCTTTTCTTTGGAAGATTAACTCGTAATAGTTTGGATCGTGACTTTTTCGGGCTCACGTATTACTGTAGAAATGTATTAGTCTAGCCAACAGAATTACATTTCTAAATGATGGATTCAGCTCTGGACACAGGATAGCTCTCACCTAGAGGTGGGGAAATGGCAAAGAAAGGACGAAGCACTCACAATCAGCCAGACTGTATCCACGATATCCCTCCAAGCCAGCTTTCTTCAACAATTGGGCTAATTCACAGCGTCCAAAGGTCTTTCCCCCAACACTAAATGTAAGGCATATGAGGAGAGACAGAAGCAGAAGATACTTCATCCCTAAAAAACATTGAGTAGAAGAAACACTATCCCAAGTGAAGGGCTGGTAAGGTGAAGGCAGGAGATTCCAGGGTGTCCTATGGGGAAAGAAAAATGCATAATGGACTTTCACAGGCAGTTAGAGATTCAATTCATTCCATTCCATCCATCCATCCATTTATCTTTCCCTTGCTTTCTCTCTAACTGCTGGGACCTATCACCTGTGGAGCCAACTTAACAAAGTACATGTTTTATTTTGATGCTTCCCTTTAAAGGAAATCACCTGGCACTGAATATTTGAAATGTTATAGTTATCAAAAAAAAAATAACTGTTCATGCTTCAATTTCATCTTTTAATTTATTTTTCTTTGGAAAGGGAAGTTAGCTATTGAAAATGGCAGTTTTCCATGCAATTACTCATTCTATATAGAATCACACTCTCCTAAGATCTTGCAGGCCTCATTTTGGTGAGATTTCAAAGAACATTGTCATTCTACCCATACTTGCTCAGCCATGGTATATGAAAGACATCAAACATGGTAAAGATTTCTGGAAAACCAAAATATCAATGAATTTAATTTCTTTAGTTCACAGATGGAAATCTATCCCCCCTCCCCATGCCAGAGAAGTAACTTTGAGGACACTGTCTCACCCCAATATTTTGCTAAACTGCAATTCTTAGCATTTTTTCCTTAAGCCTTGCTATCGCAATGGGGACTGTTCAACTACATCTACAGGTCACAGATATCCTACCCAATATTAATCTTATGTCCAAAATAACCCTAGCTCCAGCGCTCTGTAGTGGTGCAGATAGGTCACTACCCTACTGGTCTTAATTGCCTTATAGAGGTTCTCTTTAGTTGGCTACACATACTACTTCAGTTGCAATCAGCATAACTAACACTTATCTTGTCCCCTCCATGTAATGACTTCTATGTTCCTGTTACCTTAGAGCAATGTTTCCCAACCTTAGCAACTTAAAATGTGTAAACCTCAGCTCCCAGGATTCCTCAACAAGTATGCAGGAGTATTCTGGGAGCTGAAGGCCATAAATCTTAAAGTTGCTAGGGTTGTAAAACATTGCCTTACAGCAAAAAGAGAAGGAAGAAAGGAAGGAAGGAAGGAAGGAAGGAAGGAAGGAAGGAAGGAAGGAAGGAAGGAAG